TTGGTTTTTTATGGTGATAAATTATCCCAAGAAAAATGAATCTGACATTCCCTTTAAGGCTTCTTAAAACAAAGCATGTTGGAATAATGCCAAGAATAATGGAGTTTAAAAACAAACAAACAAATTAATGACTGCTTCCTTCATCAAAAGATTCCACTCCTGAATCACTAGCAGCAGCACTGATTTTTTCCTGTCGTCTTCGCATGATTTCTTGCAATTCAGAGCTGCCATTGTTATCCTGAAAAATAAACATGGTTCAGACAAGATGGTTACTAACTTGCATAGGCTGCAGGTCATGTACTGAAATGGTTCGGGGTAAAGGTCCGTTGTGATCTTCTTCTAGTATCTCTTTGGGATTGTCCCTCATATAAGTGAAGCTTCTGGACTTCACTAACGTATCACCATTAATCATTTTTCATTTTATAAAGTATCTTAAGGCAATTCACTCACTATACCTTTCATATGAACATGATAAAGATAAATCAATAATGCATATGGAATACTCTAGATTTCCTGGGAGAAAGAGGATGTGTATATAATAAGCAAAATGATATGGTAAATTATCAAAGAAATCTTTCTGGGTCAAGTAAGATAACGATCTGCCTTTAGGTAATTTAACTCAGGCCAAAGAGTAGGCTCAGAATTCACCCGGTTTCCCTCCATATAGTTCGATCATCTGATCGTGCCACTGTTCTCCTTTCCTAGCCCTATTACAATCCCTGTGTCCCCTCCCTTTATTACGCTTTCATCCACTGAAGTCTCTGGCTACACAAGGGAGTAATTTAAAAGATGAACTAGATCCCAGAGAAGGGTGAGGTGGCAAGGTGGCCGAGAAACATGAAGAACCTCAGGTAGTAAGTAGCCTCTGCCTCAATTTACATCCAGAGGAACAGGCAGCAAGAGACCAGGATCAAGTGGGCAGTGAGGGCAAATGACAACGATAGGAAGTTCTGGAATGAAGGACTTCATAAATTTTAGGAATATGGAATTTTCTAATATACCTTTAAGATGTCATTTATATACTCTCAACAAAATTAGAATATATAATGGTAACAAAACTGCTCGAGAAAAGATATAATCCTTATTCAGTCAACATATAGAAAGTAATC